CATAGAAAAAATGCTCACTCTGTAGGAAAGTTATGAGACACACGTGTTCAAACTACTCTTGAAAAATCTTTGACAAAGAAACAACGGTTTAAGTCTCAACATTTAAAAATTAGAGTGTACTAAATAGTTTTACTGTTTTATTCATTTATATATTTATGACTGATAGAGAATACTTAATGTTTAATAAAAAAAATTGTAATGGCCACAGAAAAATCATAAGTTTTGGATTAAGTTTTGATTGTCCATAATCTATGGATTAAGATTGCTTGGCACAGTCAAGCTGGCAAGGTCATTTTTATGGTCCTGCTCTACCAGGCAAACCAAGATTAGCCTGCGATTATTTTATTTTTTAGCTCATTTACTACTCAATAGAGTAGTGCTGCCCAGAACTCCCAATCCATTCCTCAGAGATGCCCTGAAAGAAAGACACTTTCACTGGGTGTCACCCAGAATAGCAGTTGATGTGTGCTAGACTCTCAAATGTTTTTGAGTAGATCGAGGATTGAGAGAGGAGTCGTCTTGAGTAAAGGGAAAGGGGATCAGTTGGCCCTCAGAAGCACAGTTCTCACAGTCTGATGAGGCTGAGGTGCAAAAGTCCCAAGGAACATTCCTCTGGGGCCAAATGCTAAGGCTGAGCTCTCCCCTTCCCTCCAGACCTCTCCCTAACTTTGTGTCCAGGATTAGTGCTTGCCACTGTCTCCTGTTCACCCCAGGCTCTCCATTGACCTGATTCTGTGCCTTTGGGGTAAGGGAACAGCCACTGGCCCCTCACGTAGGCCAGGTCAAACAAATCCAGGTGCTCTGGCCACTCCCAGTCCACAAGTCCAGGCCCACAGTGCCTCTTCCCCCACCCTGTGGTCTCAGACACAAGTCTCTCACACAACTCTGTGAGAGCCAGAAAACCTTGCCCCTGCTCTCCTATCATTTCCCTCCCTCCCTCATTCTCTCAGTCCCTCCGCTCCCCCAACTGTGCCTCTAGAAGCACCTCCCTTGACAATAACTGGCTGAACCCAGAGTGACCTGGACATCAGGCAGGTCCTCCTTAGGGAGGAAGAAAGAGAGACAATCCCTTGTTTAATTCTAGATGTTGGATCTGAGGTGAAACCAGATCTTGTTGCATATGGGAAGGGACAGGAAAGGCCAACAGAGACTTTGCTTTCAAAAAGGTATGGGGGGTAAAATAATAGTTCAGGGTAAGAGGTCTGACTCCAGAGGGAAAGAAGCCAGAGGGAATCTTGTCAGCTTGAAGGCTGAGTTAAGGGAGCTGAAGATGGGAGAGCCCCTATATGAGGACTAGGCCCCAGGAGCAGATGCTTTGGACCAGCAGGACCAGCAGAGTTGAGGCCTTCCTCTGGAACCCGGGAAGGGTTGTCTTCCAGCATTCCAACAGTGCCTCTTCAGATCCAGAAAAGCAGCTGGGCTTTTGTTTTCTATACTTTGTGACTTGTTAGGTTCTCCAAAATAGCTCAGAATTGGGAAGAATTCCCGATTCTGTTAGTAGTAGTGGAAGGGTTTTCCCCCAGCATCTTGGCCACACCCCAGGCTCAGGAGAGAGGGGTTGGCATTCTAGGGATGCAGAAAGAGAGGGCTCCCCAGTCAAAACAGGCCAGGAGGGGGAAATGGTAAACAGAAGCATTCTAAAGTGCCCAAAAAGGCCCCAGGGGCAGATGCTTTGGAATCCCAGTAGGAATTCTGTGACTAGAGGAGGTAATGGTGCCAGGCAGGACAGCCCCTCTCATGAGCTCAGAGGCTACTCTACTCTGGCCTGTGTAGCAAATGAGGACCATGAGGAGAGCAAGTGACCAGGATATGGTAGGAACATCCCCCAAATCCATGTGTAGCCCTGGGAATCATCCTGAGTAGGAAGGACAGCTCTTCATGCAGATGTGCTCCTGCCTCCAGTGCCACAGCATGTACCCTGGAAAAACAGGTTCTGCGTGGAGATGGACAGAAACAAAGTATGAGCCGAACACTCCCTCATGAGGCAAGGGACACATGCAGAAAGAGAGGGGTCCCCAGTCAAAACCGTTTACCCCTCCTGGCCTGTTTTGACTGGAGACCCCTCTCTTTCTGCATGTGTCCCTTGCCTCATGAGGGAGTGTTTGGGTCATACTTTGTTTCAAGGTCATTTGAAGACAGTGGTCCCTCTTGCCTCCTCAGATCTTGTAGATGCTGGGATCCCATAAAAATGCTCAAGCTTGGATTCCTGCAATTTTCCAGTTTTCCTGAGGTCCATGTGAAGTCTGTTAAAGGGAAAAAAACCACAGGCCCAAAATGGCATCAGTCATGCTAAAAACCCACAATACCAAAAGTAGACAATATCAAATCTAATTGCAGTTTCAACCTCTTCCAGAATCAACCAGTGTGGAATTTTCTGGTCAACACCACTATGGTAATCTGTCATGTGGGCCCTCTCCATCAGAATAAGAAATGTTTGGGCATTACAGTACAGAGGGTAAAAAATAACCAGGACAGTTCTTTGGGTGGAGAGGTTCTTTGTGTTTTGAAACTTCAAAAGAACCAGTGTGTGATCCAGCATGGCATGGGGACGTCCCAACACTTGGCAGATGCTTAAATGCCTAATACAGCTTCTGATCTTGTGAGGAAGAAGGAGTTGATGATCATGCACTGTTTAATCTGGAGAGAGGAAAAACCTAAGTGTTATTTTTGTGCCCAACGGTGCTCTGTAACAGAGGCTTAGGGACGGGGACTGAAGGGTCTTTTTGGAGCCGCATTTGCATCAGTTTTCTAGGATTAAGGAAACATCAGTTATCAGTATATACTTGGGAAGGGGCCTTTGATGATCATGTTTAGGGTCAAGGCTCCTGGAACAGGCCTGGGCCTGATCTTACTATGAAAGGCTGGGATGTGGAAGAGAATTTCTGAGCCTAAAGAGAAGGTCCTCTGGTAGCTCCTTGATGACAAGGATCCATGTGTTCGGTCCACATTTATTTCTCTCAGTGCCTCCAAGATTCCAAAGAGCCCACAGCCATCACTCCTCAGTGGCTTTCAGAATTAGATAAGTCGTGTCCCAGGTTTAGTCAATAAACCTCTCTTCTGGCCTCTCCCCAGCCCACATTCCTACATTTAATCTTCTCTAGCCAGTTTGTTGAGCTGATTTAGTCCTTCTGAGAGGAAATGGCCTTAACTCTTCACATTGGATTTCAGGGATCCACCTGGTTTCCGTTAGCCATCCCTTTGTAAGTTCTCACATTTATCCAGATGTAAGTCTGAATTCTGCAAATAAAACGTTTACCTTGTTTTGGGTAATTCCCTCGGTCCCATTACATATGCCCACCTTTCCCTTCTGGACAACTACTAGTGATTGTGACCCGACTTCCATCAGGGAAGCCTTGACCCTCAAAATCTAGAACACCAGCCATCCCTCAGTTGTGCCTCTGTCCCTCTGTGAATAGGCATACATACGATTTGCAATTTTAGGAAATGAAGTGACTATTTGATATTCAGGTATTTTATTTTTTATTTCTTTTTTCTCTTGGGATTACACCACTGTCTGCATGAAGCTGGCTTAATTCAAATATTTGGGTAATTTTGATGAGGCCCAAACTCCCCCAGCAAGCATACCTCCAGGTTGGTTTCCTTTTCTTTTTCTTCCTTGAATGGACATACTATTCAGTTCCATGTATGAAGAAAGTAAAAAACCAAATTAGGGTTAATTGTGTGGAGACCCAGTAATAAGGATTTGCATTCAGTTGGAAGTTGAAATTTCAGCTAGAATCTGAAAAAAGGTGTGGCCAGCAAGGGCTATAATTTCTTCTGAGAAGCCAGAGGAGGGACCAGAGGCTGAGGCATGAGTCACTGCCAAGGTCTTCTGGGAGTCAGGAGCATCAGGCTGGGGACACTACCAACTGAACACCCTCACTACCATCTTAAAGCCCTCAGCTAGGATCTCCAGAGGCCTGCAGACTAAGATTAAATAGGTTTCTTTTTGTCGTTTTTTTCCTTTACTTACAAGTGAGCAGGCTTTGCTTTTGCCTGTAAGTGCACTTTTGCCTTAGTCTCAAACATTTTGATTCCAGTTGTCTTGAGAAGTGGGGGATACCCATATTTTTTAACTAAACAGATATTTTCAAATTAAAAGAAATCTAATTCGTTGGAATTTTTTTATGACATTTTATTTATTTATTTATTTTTGGGTGAGGCAGCCATTGGTTGATCTCTCACATTGCAGAGACCTTGTCAGCTTACAATCCCTTATCTTTTATTTTTTTATGCCTACAGCACCTGGTCTTCCTAAGTGGTCTCCCATCCAAGTACTAACCAGGCCTGACCCTGCTTAGCTTCTGAGATCAGATGAGGTCGGGCTTGTTCAGGGTGACATGGCTGTAGATTGATGACATTTAAAATATTTAGTTTATGACTAGTAATTATAGTTCATATCATTTATTTATGATTTTGTGACTTTACTAACTAAAAGCTTAGAAGATTCATAGAATGTTTTTGAATGGAGACTATTCCGCATGTGACCTCTTTGTTCTCTTGAACAAAGGGGTTATTCTAATATATTCGTAGAAGAAACAAGAAATAAAATCTCCAGCTTCCACGTGTTATATAATGTGGTTAAGCTACTTTTAAGGTTTGTATTTTTTATCTTTCCCATCTGAGTTTTTCTTTGGAGCTTAAAAAGAGGCTGTGCTGGGTCATGTGATTCTTATTCCAGTTGTTTTCAGTCCTTGAGGATAACCAGAGACTTCCTAGAAAGGGGTGTGGTCAGGTGTTAGGCTCCTCCTACTCCAGAGTGGGGTTAGAATTAAATGCGGCAGTGGATAGATATGGAATGCAGCCAGGGATTGTCTTGCTGCCAGAGCTGCAGCTTTGTGCCCCCCGAGCTGAAAATGGAATCAGGGTAAACTGAGGACTCCTTCGGCTAGTTCCTCTGAAGGGTGGAAGCATGATGGGGTTTCTTGTGCTCGGTCTAACTACAACGCCGCATTCCCTGAATGTATCCCCAGGGTCTGTTTCAGAGCAAATTTGTCAGGATGAACCTCCCAGCTCCAGACAGACTCCTGGAACTGGCATGTCATAGCCTGCTGAAAGATGAGGACTTGGCCATTTCCTCTCTCGAGTTGCTGCCCGTGGAGCTCTTCCCACCGCTGTTCATGGCGGCCTTTGCTGGGAGGCACAGCAAGACCTTGAAGGCCATGGTGCAGGCCTGGCCCTTCCCCTGCCTCCCTCTCGGAGCCCTGATGAAGGAGCAGCAGCCGTACCATGAGACCATCCAGGCTGCGCTTGATGGACTTGACCTCCTGCTTTCCCAGGAGGTTCGCCCTAGGTGAGGATGATCTCACAGTCTGATAGGGCCTTGGAGGTCCGAGTGGATGCAGCTGGAGTCAGGGAGGGTACAGGGCCGAAGCGAGAACTAGAGCCTTCTGATGGTGTCAGTGAAGATGCTCAGAGAGCTGTTGGTGCCATTGCTGGGGTCACTCTGGGAACAGGCTTCTGGACATGTAGGGCTTGTTGAGGTGCAGAGTTGACTAAAGGAACTTGCGCTCACCCCCTCCTGGTGGCACTTAAAGGTACCAAAATGGGGACCAGGAAGGATTCCAGTAGTACAAGGAGCAGCTGATATCTGGGGTGTGGAGTAAAAGTACAATCAGGTGTCTGGTCCAGGTGCGTAGATTTCTAGATTCGTAGTCTTACTCCCTGTTATTAACGCTTCTCGGTCTGTCTCCTGTTTTCCCTGCAGGAGATGGAAACTGCAAGTGCTAGATTTACAAAAGAATGTGCATCAGGACTTCTGGGCAGTGTGGTCTGGAAACAAGGTGACCAATATGTGTCCACTGTGGGAGCCAGAGGTGGCCCAGCCAATCCAGAAGAGGCAGAAAGTAGACAATTCAAATACAGGGCCAAGGTCACCCTTGGCCCCTCTGGAGGTATTCATAGACCTTTGCCTCAAGGCAGGCACCCCTGATGAGACCCTCACTTACCTCATTAAAAAAGTCAGGCAGAGGAAAGGTTTGATACACCTGCGCTGTAAGAAGCTGAAGATCTCCACAGTGTCAATTCAAAATATTAAGATCCTGAAAATGGTGCAGCTCGACTCTGTCGAGGATTTGGAAGTGAATTGCACCTGGAAACTGTCCACCATGGAGAAGTTTGCTCCTTACCTGGGCCAGATGGGCAATCTGCACCGGCTCCTCCTCTCCCACATCCACATGTCTTCTCATATCACCCTGGAGCAGGAGCAACAGTATGTCAGCCAGTTCACCTCTCAGTTCCTCAGCCTGCTCCACCTCCAGGAGCTCTATTTGGACTCTATTTCTTTTCTTGAAGGTCGCCTGGACCAGATGCTCAGGTGAGGGATGGTGAGGTTTCTCTGGAGACTAGAGCAATCCGCTTTTCATTTCATCAGCAATAATGGGCCTCTCTTGTATGCCAGCCATCAACAGTGCCAGAGTGCATGAGTCACTAGAAGGTCCACCCACTCAGTGTCTTGTTCGCTGCTTTGTCCGTTGTCACATAATCCCTCAGATAAAAGTTAGAGGTGTGAACTAGGACATGCTATTAGAGGGATTGCTTGCTAGGAATCTGTGTAATGGGGGCTTTGGGCCAGATGAGGGTGGCTTTGGGAAGTCTCCCACTTAGGAAATGATGTCTAAGTGAAGATGATGGAAAATAAGTGAATGTTGAGGGCAGGGATGAGGGGAAAGCTCATCAGATGTGAGGTCTCAGATTGTAAGCTCTGCCCTCAGCACTTTGTCTGCAGGAGCCTCTTCCTTCAACCCTGCCTCAAACTGCCTGTCTCTCAAGCTTTGCTTTAGGCTCCAGCTAAGGAAATATGTGGGAAATGCAGGCTTCTGAAGTAAGGAATTGTAAAAAGGAATAGTTTGTGGATGATTTAGTGATCCAAGTTAGTCCCTGCAGGCTGGCAGCCGCCACTAGATATTGCCAGACTGCCCAGGTTAGCCCTTTCTGCACTTGCTCCCTTAGCCTTATCAGCCACAGAGATCAAAGTGATGGGAGTCAAAGCTGTGGTCAAAAGGAAGCCTGAGTTGAAAGCATTTCCGGTCATATCACCCCATATCACCCCGTACTAAAACTTGCTGGTTTTCTCTCCTGCTTGAGATGTCAGGCCAGGCTCCCCTATTAGCACCTCCCATCTTTACCTTTCTTCATGCTCAAAATACCTGTAGGTGGGGTGTGATGTGCTCTGCTTGACGGAAGAGCAAAGAGTGTGTGTGGGGTTTCATTCACTTGAACCAGTTACACAGCAGATAAGTGATGGAGGGAAGGACTCCACTCAGACTTGCACTGACTTGAATGCCTCCTTTTCACCAGGTGGCATCCTGAGGGTTGACCATCATCTAGAAAACTTTGGGTTCTGGTGAAATGGGCCTCTCTTCCTTTAAGGCCTGGGTCATCTTCACCTCCTGCCCACCAGCTCCATTCCCCAGAACTAACTGCTCTGTCTCTCCCCAGGTGCCTGAAGACCCCCTTGGAGACCCTGTCCATCACTAACTGCCTGCTTTCGGAAACCGACTTGATGCACTTGTCCCAGAACCTGAATGTCAGTCAGCTGAAGGACCTGGGTCTCAGCGGGGTCAACCTGACCAATGTAAGTTCTGAGCCCCTCCAAATTCTGTTAGAAAGAGCCTCCGCGACACTCCAGGACCTCGATTTGGATGAGTGCGGGATCATGGACCCCCAGTTCACTGCCATCCTGCCTGCCCTGAGCCGCTGCTCCCAGCTCACAACCTTCAGCTTCTGTGGAAACCCCATCTCCATGGCTGTCTTGGAGAACCTGCTGCGCCACACCATCGGGCTGAAAAACCTGAGCCATGTGCTGTACCCTACCCCCTTGGAGAGCTACGAGGATGTCCGTGGCACCCTCCACCTGGGCTTACTTGCCCAGCTGCACGCCAAGCTGAGGCAGATGCTGCAGGAGTTGGGGCGACCCAGCATGGTCTGGTTCAGTGCCAACCGCTGTCCTGACTGTGGTGACAGAACCTTCTATGACCCAGACCCCATTCTGTGTCCCTGTTATACATCTTTCTAGCTGGGTGCACAATCATAGGCTTTGTTTTAGGCACTTGGATACTGAAGCTCAGACATAAGTACTTCTGCCTGCCCTGAGCCGCTGCTCCCAGCTCACAACCTTCAGCTTCTGTGGAAACCCCATCTCCATGGCTGTCTTGGAGAACCTGCTGCGCCACACCATCGGGCTGAAAAACCTGAGCCATGTGCTGTACCCTACCCCCTTGGAGAGCTACGAGGATGTCCGTGGCACCCTCCACCTGGGCTTACTTGCCCAGCTGCACGCCAAGCTGAGGCAGATGCTGCAGGAGTTGGGGCGACCCAGCATGGTCTGGTTCAGTGCCAACCGCTGTCCTGACTGTGGTGACAGAACCTTCTATGACCCAGACCCCATTCTGTGTCCCTGTTATACATCTTTCTAGCTGGGTGCACAATCATAGGCTTTGTTTTAGGCACTTGGATACTGAAGCTCAGACATAAGTACTTCTTAAAGGAACACAGCAGCCACAGTTTCAGACAAATGCTGTGTTAGCAGGAAAAGGAGAGGTGATTCAGGGGGTAGGGGAGGAAATGTTGACTTGAGTTAATGGTTTCTTTGAGGAGATGTGTTCTGTAGAGTTAGATGTATGAATCTTAAGTTTCTAGAGGGAGATTCAGGCATTGAAGATAGATGTGGGAGTTACCCCTGTTTGAATGGTTGTAAAGAAATGGTCAGAAATAAAGGTAACTTCATGTTAACCATCTGGTGTCCTCTTACGTTAACCTGATTCTCCAACTTAAACCTCAGGAATCTCTAGTTACTTAGCTAATAAGGCATGAATGTGCATGATGCTCAGAAACTAGGCTGAACAAGGTTGGGCCGCAGTTCATGGTACCATTTATCATTCCTTCTGTTTGGTTCTTCTGTCTGGTGCATCTGTTATCTCCACTTAACGCCTGTGACTATTGAGTTAGTCAATGTACACAAGGTGCATCCAGGGCCTGGAATATACTAAGTGACCTATAATTGCCACTGCTAACTCCACCCAGGCTCTAGAATCAAGCATTCCTCCTAGTGTCTCCATCCCTGGCCTTTGGCCACACTGAGGTAGGGCTTCATTTCACTGAAGGGAACATCCACCTGCTGGTGAGCAAGAGCCTTAGCCTTAACCAACTCATCTGTCATCCTACCTGGTCTAGCCCCTTGAATTCAACTAGTGGCCAGTGAAAACATTTAAATTTCTTGAGTAAAATGTGATTATATGGGCTTATAACATTGGTTTAATATTTATCCCTCATTAAATATATGGCATCCTTTTGTGGGAGTAAGGTTGTAACAATGTGAGAATGACTTCTCCTTAGAGGGTTCATACCAAGTCACCTCAACATGTGCTTCTGTAGTATGTGGGCTATTTCAAGCTGAAGGCAGTTGAGATCCTGCGGGCTCATGAGAAACTTCCACCTTTCCCTTAAAGAATTTAAATCAGGGGCCTTGCCCATGATGAGTTGTCATCAGAAATAACTTTTTATGACCTAGGTATAGGGCAGGGCAAACTTCTAATTACTGAGCATCTGTTCTTATCCAGCAAATGACCTTCTGCCCACTCTTTACCTCATATTTAGTTTAGAATATTTCAGACACGCACATACATGCACATACATAAATATAGTTTTCCCTGTGTCTCGTGTACGTGAGGTTCCCATACGTATGTAATTAAATTTGATGATTGTCTCATGTCTATTTGATTGTTAGACCAACTGACAGCACCTTGGAGGAAGAGGAAAAAGTTCCTTCCCCATGGGCCCCTTAACCAACTTACAGGAATATTTTCCAGAATGGGAACCAGCACCTCTGGAATTTAAGGAAAAGTATACAAAATGAGAACGTTCTTGAAGAGCAAAGGCAAAGCATCACATGATCTCAGTGTTGGGTTCCTCAGCCACAAACTTGGAGTTCTTGCAGGAGGGTATTGGTCCAAGCACCTAAGAGCTAGAGAGATTATCTTAGAGAAGAAGAGAGGGAGAGGTGATCCAGTATTTGGACAAGCAGAATTAAACGTAAGATGATGAGGCAGGATCTCAGAGGGTGGAGGACAAAACAGTTGGCCACAAAACTTTTTAAAAAATCTTTTTCTTCAATAACAGTTGACATTCACCATTATTTAATATTAGTTTCAGGTGTACAGCATAGTTGTTAGACATTTACATAATTTACAAAGTGATCCCCGATTAGCCTGGTACCCACCTGGCACTATACATAGTTATTACAATGTTATCGACTGTATTCCCTATGCTATATTTTACAACCCTGTGACTACCATTTTGTACTTTTTAATTCCTCCACCTTTTATACCCAGCCCAACAACCCCCCTCCCATTTGGCAACCATCAGTTCTTTGTATCTATGAACATTAGACTTTTGTTGAATGTTTTCTTCAACAAATCTTCCAAACCTGAGAATAGTAATGATGTGGTGATAATAATAAGTGAGTACCAAGCATAAAAAAGCACAACCAAGTGATCTATTGATACAAAACAAATTATCCCCAAACTGAATGGCTTAAAAACAACAATATATATTTTTGAATTCACAGTTATTGTGGCTTAGCTGATTGCATCTGACTCAGAGTCTCATCAGGTACACTCAAAATGTTGGCTTATTCATCTAAAAATTTGACAGACTTGACCAGAGCTGGAGAATCCTCTTCCAAGATGGCTCTTTTCCTTGGCTGTTGGCAGGAGGCCTCAGTTCCTCACCATGTAGATCTTTCCATAGGACTGCCTGAGTGTTCTCACAACATGGCAGCCATCTGGCTTCCACTAGTGCAGGTGATTCAAAAGAACAAGACAGAATGTCTTTTATGACCCAATCTTGGAAATCACACACCATCGTCCCACAATGTCCTGCTCCCTGTGACAGAGAACTATCCAAGGATGTGAACACCAGAAGGCAGGGATCATTGGGGGCTGTCTAGAAGGCAGGCTTTCACAATAGCACAAAGCCTTTTGCTGAAGTAACATGTTAACTAAACCTATTGTAATAATTTTGCAGTATATACATATATCAAATAATTATATTGAGAACCTTAAACTTATACAATGTTCGATATCAATCAAACTTGTGGAGGGGACTAAAAACAAAAAAAGAATTAAAAACCTCACAAAATAACCCCCTCGAAAGCCTTTTCCATACATTATTTTATTTAATAGTCATAGCAATCCAGGAAGGTAGTTATCATTTACCTCTGTGACCCAGAACTTGACATCATATCTGGCAGAATGTAGCACTCTAGACTTTGGTCAAAGAGAGATGCACGTAAGGGATTAAGAGCTCAGGACATCAGTCCCACTGCCTAGGTTCAGATCTCGGATGCTATTTATTGTGTGATCTTGAGCAAGATTTTTAACATCTCTGTATTCAAAACAAAACAAAACAAACCCACAAAACTCTACTATGAATATAATAATAATATATACACACCCTCTCTTGATTTTGATTCAACTAAATAGAAGATATAGCACATTCCAATCCCAGTGCCTGGCTCATAGTGCTAAATAAACATTATTTGTTGTTATTGATGTTATCCCCAACAATGTTTCCTGCTCCTGGTGAGGTTTTCAGTGACTCATTAAAAAAAAATTTTTTTTTATAAGAGTTTATTTGAGCCAAACTGATGACATGTGCGGAGGAGCAAGATCTCAAATGCTCCCAAGAATAACAGTTTATGCAACTTCTTTTATGCATTTGAAATTAAAGAAGAAACTCAGGAAGATTACATGAGCTGGGAGAAAGCCAGGCAGGCGTTGTATTACAGGATTGTTAACAAGATTCTGTGCTCTCTTGAGAGTGGTTACAGTTTATTTTAAAGGTGTGTTAGATACGCAGAAAAAATGGATAGGGCTCGCCTGAGGCAAAGTTAGGCCTTTAACAAAAGAAGTTATATGCCTGAAGCGTGACTACCCCCTATGTCCTGCCCAGTTAGAATTTATAATCAGATCACCCTGTGAGGTTACTTTCCGTAGAACCCAATTTTCCATCCACAGTTCTCCCTCCAGGTCATAAATCAATTGGAAGGATGCATTGATGACCAACCTTTTGGTCAGATAGTGTAGTCTCAGAGTACTAGGAAGTCTCATTCCTAGGAGGTCTCAGTATAGACTTTATTTTGTTGACCTTTGGGGATGGAGCAATACCATAACCACGAAATCCAAGTTGAGGCCAAATTTCTCCCAAAAAGGGAAGGTCAGGTAAATGGAAGGCAGTCTAGGTCTTAACTGCTTTCATTTTGAAAACAAAAAACAACACTAGATCATTTTTATCCTGTGAACTATCCTGATCTGAATGGTTTTGCCTCCTCATTTTGCTGTGTTTGGCATCTAGTGTAACAGCCTCAGTAATTCTTGAGGGTATACATGGCACCTAATGGCATTGAGCTACCTCTGGAAAAGCCTTAAAATTGAGAGGGAGCAGAGTGTGCAACCCCAAAAATATGCCTTTTGGGGATATTGATTATTTTAAGCTGATTATTTTTAAGAAATGAAAGACCCAGAAAGAACATTCGAACATCCCCCGTTACCTGCCTAAAGGAATTCATATAGAAAAACTTCCTTAAAGGAAGAGAACTATCACTTTAGCATCAGAATATGAACTGAGTGTAGCAGACAGGGAGGACTCTAGCAAAGTCTGTTTGCTAGACTCCCCTCTGTGTGTTCCCATTGTTTCTGGGTGGCCCAGCGAGAATTTGTTTACCAAATAATTGCTCCTTCTTATCTACCCATCAACTGCCTACTTTCCCTTTAGAGTCCCAGACTCCTGTCTCCCTCTCCTTTATCCGACATCTAAGCCTCCACTGCCTGATTGAGTCCTATATTCTTAGAGAACCCCTGTATATACATACATAATAAATTTGTTTATTTTTCCTATTGATCTGTTTCATGTCAATTTGATTATTAGATTAGCCAGAAGAACTTAGAAGGTGAAAAGGGAAATTATTTTTAATCCCCCACAGAATCTTTTCCAATAGAAATACTCAACCAGAAAATA